CGAGTAGATTGTTTTCGTGGCTGGTGCGACGTCTGCACAACCGTCATGTTGTCACGTGCGAAGGAAATGACTGGGAAACAAATGAACCGGAGAAATGGTATCCACGCTACACCGCCATCCTTCGCCATCCGACCACTTGGCAGAGTATTTATGGGCGCTGTAATTGGCTATCCTACGCAATTATACGTTTATCGTCCGGGGTCGACAGTGTTTTAAGTCAGCTTCTGTTGTAACTGACGATTGTCTCACTCTCCCACCAAAAATGGTGTAGTTTTCTTAAGTGCCAGCATTTTAGGGAAAAAGTACTCCAGACGGTGGAGACGGTGTCTATCTGCGTGTAAGTATGTGGAAATCCCGACTCACTTCCCTGCATTAGAACAGAAAAAAGACACGGTGAAACATCGTATTGGACACGTGAAATGCTGTTTGGTGGTGGTGGGGGGGTCAAGAGATGAATGATCGTTACTAAAAAATGGAGTTTTGCGGTTTTCCAGGAGCAAAAAACAATTTTTAAGGAATGCAAACTCCGCTTACTTCTCGGTTTATTTTTGTCCCATTTATGCACTTATCGTAGTGCTTACCTTTGATCTGGAAGACCTTGATGTAGAATGATTTGTCACCACGCCTTATCAACACTACGTAACGATATTTCAGCTTTTATGTTCAGTAAGCATTGTCCCCACATATGTGGCGATTTGATTTAAGTAGAATAATACACCGGAGAGGAGATAAAGTCACACCGCGGTGAGCACAATGGGATTGAACCACGCCCTACTAGACTCGACTTAGTGACGGAAATAAGTAGCTCTTCACAAGCCGAAGAGTACCATAAGTGACTGTACTTTTAATCCATTTCTTTTTCACTTGTCTTAGGAGGTGAAGCAGCTACTAAATCACAGGCTGCTGATATTTCAGGGTGCTTTGGTGGTCTAGAAGAAGATATCAGAGCCAACACGTACAAATTTTCAACTCTAAGGCCAAGGTGTTAATCACGGAGGGAAAGAGGGTGATCTTACATGCTTTAGCGTGTTTTTTCTGCGGTCCAAGATAGCATGACCTAAAAAATTATTTCTGATTAATCTTGCTCTCCTGAAGTGAACTTCGCCTCAGCTACTAACGTTTGAGGTGGTGGTGAGTACACGCTTACCTATCTGGTACTGGGATCAACAGGAAAAAAAAATCAGATATGGGGGGAGCACTTGAAAACGCACTTGTTTCCTAGTGAAATATCCTCCTGGCATTGACATATGATTGTCAAACATAAGTTACGCCTGTTAGGTTACTGCCTTACATTTGGAAAACTTGCTCTCCACCCCGGAAATACAAATTATCTCAACGTTTCTACTCACTCCTCCCCGTTTCCCCCTCTCTTCTGATGTGTTGAGAGAAGATGTCAATGGGTAACTTGAAAGGTGAATAAGATGGCTACCTGAACTGTACCTCAGCGTGGCATGGCAGTATAACAACCAACCTGCTCGATGGCCATTCTCTGGGAGTCCAGAGTATATTGTACGCATCTTTTTGTGGAAAGAAATTCGGCTGATCCGCTATTCTTGTGCATTCGAGTTCATTCTCTATTCCTCGTTGTCGTAGTCAATAATCGGGCGTGTTCTGTATCCCTTACGCCAGTAGGATCGGTTTGGATCTCCCGGACAGCTACACGCAAGAGAGAGAGGGAGAACTTCACCTCTTCACTGAGAACATATATCGACAGAGGTGGATTTACGCCCTCAAAGCACTTTCTACCGGTAATACCAATTTTGGTGCGACTTTCAAACCTTGACGTCCAGAGTGGCAACCACTCAGTTAAAATGCAAGGGCTAACAACTCAACGACCAGAAGTAGTCACAGGACACCCAGAGACAATCCATCATTCCTCTTCCCCCTCCTGCTGGAAAATTTTGGAGGTTGTCGTCTTAACGCCGATCAGACATCCTGGAGATTATACAGAGGATGTTAAATCCAAAGGGAGGGGAATTTAGTGCTGTCTTGATGAGAAAAAACAAACAAAACCTTTTGTGTAGCGAATGATGAAGAAAACCATCGTTTCAACCTGTTCCAAAAGACAGTCGGTTTTGGGTTAGATAGGCACCACTTCATCCGACATCCCTGAAGAATTGTGCTTGTCTTTTGTGTGTGTCTGTGTGGTAAACTACAGGCGCGAACATAAAGGACAAACAACAGCGGCTGGGATCGATCCACCCAGGACGAGACAGCTCGAACGTGTGCAGGAAAAACGGCTCTAGGGACGTCCAGGACTAGTCAATGAGTCGAAGAAGATCTCCGTTTGTTACGGGACAACGTAACACCTCAGAGGAGAATGTGAGCAACAATACCTCGCCTAATCATCCATATCCCCTTGATGACTTATTCGAAAGTGATATACAGCGCTTTTCCTTGATGGTATCATGAGACAAACACATAATCTTTCATTATGAAATGGAATAGACAGTTGGTAAGAAAGAGGGCAAACTCACCACGCAGATAAGTTTGCTCCCGATTTCTAAAAAAGTACAGGAAAAACAATTAGGGTAGTCCTAACGATCAGGAGGCACGCCAAAGCCAATTCGACTACTTCATTCACCATCACCATCAACACTGGACAAACTGTTATTCTCTAGGACACCACACCACAATAGCACTCGATGTCGACTTGCGAGAGCCAAATCGAGGGATTTGTGACCGAATTCAGCGGCATCGAGTTGCGACGAATGCGATGCAAGGCGGCGGAGTAGCGCGTGGAAATGGGTCGACGAAGCAGGGTTCGTTGGTGAAGCACTCGAGAGGAACTGGGAAGCCCGTAAATCGTGCTCCATGAACTTGGTTCGTGGAGGTCTTCAGCATCCACGCAGTCAAAGGAGGCACTGGCTGAGGGGCGCATTCGAAAGACATCTCCTTCTCCTCTTCTTCTTAATATTTTTCATGAATTGTGGCACAACGGAAGAAAGGATTTAAAGGGGTATTGCTGTGAGTTGGTTATTTGGTCCCATAAAATGGACGAAAATCCACCAAAACTCTCATGTCGACGATACGATTCTACCTGCAGCTTATTATACGCTGAATTTGGTAGAAATTCGTAGTCAACTCTCTCCCTTCTCACAAAATTGATGAATCTACAGGTGAACACTGAGATTCCCTTCCCTTCTCAGGTGAAAAGGATGCTATTTTCTCAGTCCACTGGACCTTTTATGCATAAAAAATGCCAGAACTCGGGTATGCTCCCGGTGTAAGGAAGACCGCTCCAAATCTATGGTGCTTCCGATAAAGTGGCCCAAAATTTAGCCAAGTTTTAAGTGTCTAAAACGAGATTGAGCCCCCCTCCCCCACCAGGAGTGAATTGTCAAATTCTTCAAGAGACTTGGTCCACGCAAATGCGGACAACGGGTCGGCCTTCGATTTCTCCACAATCTAAAAACTGCGAATATATGGAGAATCCCTCTCATGACGGACTTTGAGGTAAAATAGGATGTAGTTTTATCGCTTTTGTGACAAACCCAATTCCAACCTCTCTGACAATTGGACGCGCTCAAGTTGCTCATTCATAAGACTCAAATGTCATTAAATACTTTGATAATTGATGTCATGAAGACACCTGACAATTCAACGTGATTTAGGGTGACCGATTTCATTAAAAATCGTCATTGAAATAACACTTTACAGGAACTTTTGTGTAAACGATTTGGATCTAAACTCCGCCCAAACACCACCATATTTTAGCATTTATAGATATAAAATACGGCCTTTAATTTCAAGGAGTCCCTTGACCTGCAAAAGTTGGTCCGATTCCCCTGTTAGTTTAACACTTCAATAGGCGAAGACAACCCAAATGTTGGTATAACTTTTGCGGGTCCTAATCCCTTTGGAAAAAGACGGAATTTTAGACTACTGGCATCACAAATTTTACTCTCACTTGACCATTCCCTACAGCGAAATTGAATTCGGCTGATTTAGTCTTTTCAGTACAGTTGCCCTGGCCTCACTACATTCGAAAAGGGCATCTTCGGCGGAATGAATTCGAAAACTACAGCCTAGGCATGCTGTTGCTCTACCATGGCACTGTCTTTGTATTGCCCGACTTTCAAATCCCATTTGTTTCGGTTTAGTTACATGCGCTATGGCTGTCATGTACAATTCCGGGTAAGGAAATGGGAACATCACATGTATATGACCATCTCTTTCCCCTCGCCTTTTCCACACTTACCCGCCCTTCGAGGCGGCAGTGAGCGGACGAACGACAGATCCCGTGGATCCAGAAACCTTGGAAGCGGGCAGAGCAGGCGGTGCAGTACTGGAGGGGGATGCAAGATTAGTGGAGCGTGCGGAGACCTGTGAGGGCGGCCGACGAGAGCTACTGGTAGCATGGGTGGAGGGCATCCATGGCGTGTGACGACTCTGTCGGCCCGCCATTGCGGCAGTCGGTGCTCGACTCGCTTGTACGCAGAAAGGGTAGATTTGTGAGACAACACGTTGTACCAAAGAATGTGAATTAGGCATGCACATGCAGAAAGGAAATTGGATGCAAAGCGCCGGGTCTACCATAATTAACTACATATTGGCGCACAAAGTGGGGACTCCATTGGTTAAATGATTCCAGCATTTCAATGTGAAAAAAAAAGTTCAGCTGCACCTCCAACCACGGGTAGCTGTGGCTTGTTTCCTGTCCACATGTGGTGCGATGTTGGTAGAGCCAGATGAGTTATGAGCATTCGAAACCTTGGAGCCCCCAGTGGATAGCCGCCACAGCAAACACCCATAAACAAAAAAGTATGATAAACGCTACATTTTCCTAACTACCCCAACTGGATGTTACCAGCATCGACCCAAATGCAACAGTAGTATACTAAGGCGGTGAACAGTGACTTTGAGTAAGTATTCATCATTTTATGTTTGTGGTAGAAAAACAGCTAAAATTGCAGAAATAGGCGTGCCAATTGTGGCTGCCTTAATTGGACATGATATGTCTCCTCGGAAACAGCCCTACGTTAGCAGCATGCAGCTTTGACAAAGTCATCTAAGCTACTAGTTTTACAGCCTGTCTGAAGGTTGACAAGAAAGTTGTCTTTAAATTCAGAGCACTTCGTGGCGTTGTCAGGGAAAATATGGGTGCTGGATTAATGCCATCGTTGGTGAAAACATCTTGAAACAACAAAATTAACAACTCAGCTGGTTAGATGCCAAACCAAAAAAGCCACGTAAGACTCACAACGAAAAGCCTAGTAGAATCACATCAATTTGAGTCAAATAGCTAATTTTAAGGGCTGTGAAGGAGACTATTATAAAGAAAAACCTCTTCTAGACAGTTGGTCTTAAAAAAGTGGTTGGTACGTGGAAGATCCTCGGTAAATTTAGTCCCAATACTCCATGACGTGTTTTAGAATTTCAGCCCACTTATTTAAAGGGAAAGGGGGACAAATTCGTGACTACTGAACAGACAGAGGACTATGCAAGGCGAGTTCCTATAATGTCAACCAATACTAGGAGGAAGTTAAGATATCAAACTTTTCTTTCTTGAAAAGTAATAAGTTAATTTCGCAGAGAAGAAAACTTAAAAAAAATTTGGGAAATCATTAGGAAAAACAATGGGAAAAATAGAAATCTGCGAGTTCTGGGCCGGTAAACGAGGGGGAGGCAGTGGCGAATTATGCGTTCATTACAAACAGAAAAAACCACAGAATCCGAGGGGCGAATAGGCATGCAAAATATGGATAAAATAACAAAATCACACAACATTGAAAGTCGCTAAAGATGAGGAGATAGGGGGGGGGGGGGGGGAACAAAAAGAAACGACTTTAAAAAGGCTATCAACAGAACGTCAATCAAAACATGTTTGTTAATCCTACTTGGCTCCTGGCGAAGAAAACGATTTACAAAAAGAACAAATCGGAATATGCAATAAACCGTACACGATATAATCCTTCTACACGTGTGTCTTATTGGCGCTGATACTTTCGAATGCAAACGTCCCACTGATCGATGGGAGTAAATGAGCGGTGGGAATGCGCAACATGGTGATATTAGTATGTCCACCGTAACGCTTCACGTCATGTGAATATCGGCCATAAATAGCCGAATTTTCTTCGGTGAAAAAGTATATTACGGCATGCCGCTGGTCCTGATTTTGAAAAGAATTTCGACGCTTTGGCAGCTAACAACGGGAGATTGGCTTGAGCAATACATACAGTATTTCCTTTTACTTATATTAACGCACCAGCCTATCGTAAAAAATTAGGATGGTCCATATTCTTCAGCAAAACATCAAATTCACCCAATGTTAAGATTGACTTATTTGTCAGAGGTAATCAGGGAATGAAAAACACCACAAGTTGTCTTTATGTAGCAAAAACTAAGGTAGAGAGGCATTATACAAAAAAACAGTTTACCTCTGGATTCACTGGCAGTTCGAGGGGCGACATGACTTGACATGGGTGAATGCGTACCTCGTGAGGACTCGAGGAGCTGCACGCGTCGCAGGCAATCCGCCAGTGCACTTTTCAGACAGATAAGTTCCTCCGCCAGGTCAGTAGTCTGCTTCTCCAAGTAAGCCATCCGCTCCAATAACTCATCTTTTTCGGTTGTCATCAGTCCATCTAAATTAAGTCGCAAGAAAAATAATAACACCCAGATTGCGAGTCAAACGGGGCGCAACATTTGTTTGCAGGGCAATTCAGAAAATATGATAATAAGGTGTCGCAGTTAAATAGAAAAGTAATAGGGAACACAAATGAGTATAACGAACCTAGCCCGACGGTTCCGTTAGACATCCTGATGTGAAATGGCCAGGTAGGTTATTTCAGCTTATTGGCCAGAATGACCTTTACATTTAGTATAATAAAATAGCCTTTTGGTAGATAAATTTCCACGAAAAAATGCAATATTTTTTTATAAGGTTTTTAACGTAATAATCGGTCTTATGGTTTGCTTATTGCAAAATGAAAATGAATGCTTCTTAACTTCTTCACACATAGGAATACCCACTTTTAATCTAATGTAATTACCCATGCTTGATCTGCGTGCAAAAAGAGCTCCAAGTTTAAAACCGTTTAAGATTAGACATTAGTACTGCACGTTTAATGCTAATTTTCTACTATAGCGTCCCGAGACTACCTTGGAAACAAAAGAAGACACCATACTCTGGCAGAATACGTATATTCGGGACAGAGAAGGTATTTGAACTACTGGTATGGCCCGAAGGCCAGCTTATCCAGCGTAGTACAAAGGCCAAGGCAGAGGTGGCTCCTCGGCAAGACCGAGAGACAAACAACCATCGTATTACGTGACCCCTCTCCTCTTTCAAGCGTTCTCCCCCTCACTACCCCTAGTCAACCTCTTAGTAAACGCCCACGAGCCGGCTGTGCCAGTCATCAAATTGCCCTGCAACTGAGGAGGTGCTTGATTGCATTGTCACTGATCCCTCTCGGTAATTTAACTGAATCTGATGTTTCATCCAGTTTGGATACTTGCTTTAGGAACGGGGAATTGTACCGACCGTCATGCGTGTCCACAGATAGATACAGACACACTGGCCTAAAAGCGGATCTATGTAAGGAGGGACTATATTTAGTACAAGTCCGTGGGAAATGAGTTTTGCGTTTGTTCCTCCTTGCCGCGTTGTTTCCACTTCAGAATTGCGCATGCTCTATTCTGCTAGTAAGGAAATGGAGGAGATATCGCAAATTTACTTTATCAACAACTTCATGTGGGTACGGTAGGGGAAGTCTGCAACATTCTTTTAGACGGTCCACGGCTAATGTAGCTTCAGTTGTTAATAGCTTTCCTGCAGAACACAGGACTAAGATAGATGCCGAAGGTAGACGTCAATTTCAACCCTTCTGTTTGGGGTCATCACCATTTTCCCAACCGTAGCATATGTACTTTTTCCGCTCTGCTAAGGTTTATCATGTAGCAGTGGAAATCAGGGTAGATGTCCCTTAGGATCGGGTTCGCTTTCCTCTGCCACCAATGTAGCGTCCCAAGACTCCCCTGAAGACAAAAGAAGACATTGTACTCGGGCGGAATACGCATATTCGGCACAGAGAAGGTATTTGAACTGTTTGCATGGCCTAAAGGCTGGCCCATCCGGCGTGGTACGAAGGCCAAGTCAAAATTGGCTCCTTGCTAATACCAAAAGATTAATAACCATCGTATTACGCTACCGCTGTTGATTATTTTATGTAATAAGTTAGTTGCTTCTTAAACTGGAGATTCCGTTACAGTTCCACTTTCGTCTTAACCATTGTACCTCTCCGGGTTGTCTGACCATCGGACCATGCCAGTAGCTTTAGCACCTTCTGCTTTTCGATATACATATTCTATTAATGCATTATTTCTTTTTATCTTTGGGGAAATCTCGGGCGCTACATTGGTTGCAGCGGAAATGAACCCAAGCCTAAAGGACATTTATGCTTATTTTTACTGCTGCGTGGTAGAACGTGACAAGGCAGGAGGATGGCATATACTAGGAATGGGAGAATCCATGATAACTTCAAATATGGGCTGAAATTGATGTCCACCTTCAGTGATTACGCCGGTCTTATGTCCTGCAATAAGTTATTAACGACTGAAGCAACACTGATCGTGAACTATCTTGAATAGATTCGTTACGGTGATTCCTTACCGTACCTCTATAAAGACGTTGATACAGATAACTCGCTATGCCTCCCACATTTCTCTACCAGATGGACAGAGCTCGGACAGATATGACTGGGCAGCTCTGAAGTGAAAACGACGTAGCAAGGAGGAACAAACGCAAAACCTTTTTCCCATGGACCTATGTTAAATCCCATCCTTTATTACATAAATCTACTTTTAGTTTAGTAATCCAACACTTATCTGTTGACACGCGTGATGGCTAGCACAATTCTTCGTTCCTAAAATCTAGTTCCCATACCGGAAAAAAAGCCCATATTCGGTTAAAAAGTGCCAAGAGGGACCGGTGTGGTTGCGGTCAAATACCCCCTCAGTCACATAAAAGTTTGATGACCGGGACGGCTGGCTCCTGTGTTTTTCCTTACAGCACCGAATACTTTGCGATGCCTGCCTCAGAGGCCTAACCAGGGTAAACGCCAAGAGTAAGCTCGGACTAGGAGAGGAATTATGTAATAAGCTGGTTATTTATTTAATGGTTGGTTTTAGTAGAGCCACTGGGTGGCCTGGTCTTCGGGCCATACCAGCGACCCAAATAGCAGAAAATTTTCTAAAACCTTAAATATGTTAGCTATGTACTTTCGAAGTGGCCGAGAAAGATCATTAAAGGGGTGTAACATGATTTCTTGCCGAGTCTTTCCTTCTCAGGTATTGTGGGTTAAGTGGAGGCATGCTTAGACCACCGTGATCTAAAACAATCCCGTGCATTTATAACTTACTATTCTGACTTCATCAATTTGACACGTTTTTTTCGCTTATTAGGCTTTATTAAGAATAAATAGATAAATATTTTTTGAGTCCTCTATTTTGCCGCGTCACTGAGTAGAATTAGATGATGTGGAGACTAAAGTAAAGTCAAACAAGTTTAAAAAATTAGTGTGAAACCAATTACTTCTTAAAAATTTAGGTTGCTGTACTCACTTTTGTCAGTCTACTTTTCTAGCCATCATAAGGGACGCGGTGTATCACAAACCACCGTCACTGAGTTCCCCTGCTATTTCAATGGCATTTGATCATAGCGTCAATTACGATGCACCAAAACGTTTACTCCACTTGCAAATTGATGTAGGATAGGAAAAAAGCACTAAATGCTTACTATTAAAAGTCAAAAAATACCCCAAAGTGGGGGCCTTGCGAGCCTTACATTCAGACCATAGGGAAATAAAGCAATTTTGTTCAAACCTTGGTACCACTTAGCCACCTATTTGGATCCCATTTGCCCAATAGAGATGTAGAGGAATTGCTGCTTTTGTGTAGCATCCTTAGACTTCCCTAAGGACGCAGAAAGACATAATACTTCGGCAGAATATGTTTATTCGAAATAGAGGCGATATTCGAGCCACCGACATGGCCCGAAGGCCAGCCAACCTGATGTGGTACAATGGCCAACTCCAATGTGACCTTTCCCAAAACAGGGATAAACAACCATCTTTTAACATTTGCACGTGTCTAACAGCCTTGCTAAGGTATCTAGATACCTACCAATGGACTGCTACCTGGTCTTTCAAAGATGCTGCCGCCTTAATTAACAACGGCCTTTTAAAGAATGCAGAATTGTGTTAATTTTGAAAGATGAGAGTCACGTTTACCTTCTATCTCCTGCGTCTTTTTTGTTTTACATGCCAATGGTTGATATTTCATTTCCTTGATGCAAAGTTTTCGTGCTTGCTAATAAAAACCGTTATAGTGATATGAAGAAGCATGAAATTAAGCAGTTAGCATGGCATTGTTCCTAACCCTAGTTAATAGATTCCAATTTTTGCCTAATTAAAAAATTTTGGCTGCGATGTATTAGAAGATCCCTGATTGCTCTTTCTATTGATTAAATGGCTAATTTCCCTAAGGAATAGTACATCTTGTAAAACAAAAAATTTTAAGGTCTTTAAGACTGTTACTTTAAAAAACATAGCAAACTTCATGTCTTCATGAACATTAAAATGGAGGTCAAATTTCAGGTGTGGTTAGATCGTTTTAGTTACCCTCAAAGCAAAGCTCGTGAAGTAAAGAAATGCGACTGGCATCGTTCCTAGTTCTGAGTTGCCTTTGTTGCGTAGTTCCCACCCTTTGCCGTCGTCACACCCTTACATTAAAAGTAACGCCTTTTTTTGACACATGTGGTTAGAATGATGGTCGCGTTGGAGTTTTATGCAGCCAATTCACTTACGGACCACGGGGTTTTCTTGGCGTCCACTTAACTGGCCTTGATCATAATGCTTTGGGCAAGGTTATTACGATGTCTCATTTGCCATTTCTTTTGTTTGTTTTTGCGTTCCAAATCTTACTTAGAATTTTTTAATGCCATTTTTACACCAATTTTTCTGTCGTGACGTAGGGTTTGGCGAATAGCGCATACCCGTATTTCAAAAAAATACTGTTTTATCCGTTCAGTCTTTTAGGCTTCGTCTTTAACAAACAAATGAAAGGATCCTGAATTTGTTTTAGGTTGGGTTTTCAATGGAAAAGTCAACATCAAACAGCCCACTCCAGTCTTCGGTAAGTTCCTCCACTTACTATCATCCGAGCCCTTAGAAACAGAATTCTCGTGATTGTTTAATGGAGAAGCCTTCTGATAAACAGGTTTTTCTCCTTTATTTGGAGAAAAAGACGTGAGTTGTCATTGATTTTATATCAACTTACCAACTGTACTTTTGCATTTCAGGGCCAGGTTGAAGTATTTACCCGGCCAATCTGTTCTCGTTTATCCCGAAAATAGAGTTAATCGAGAGCCCTTTATCTTTCTTGACGCTGAAGATGAGAAAACTTTCCGATCGTTTGAAATCCAAATCGCTGAATTTTTTGTCGAATACCTGGATTTATCCCAAATCGAATCTGAACAGCTGTCCGCTGAAATTGTGAAGGTGAGAGTCTATCTCGACTGGATTTGTTGGTTTACCCTTTCCGAGAACTTTTTAATAATCCGTTCAATTTCCTTCTCAGGTGATTACATCTGATGAAAATATTAGGACTGTAGTAGTCGACATGGTAAAGCAGAGTGTGGGTTCAGATCCAGCAGTCTACAAGACGTTAAGCCATCTACGCTCATTGGTAGATTTTGGAGGTAAGAAGCAAGACGGTGACGTAGATGCTAAACTCCAACGCAATCGACGCGAAGCTCCACAAGAACCTGACCTCGACAGAATGAACAAGTTTCCGGGGAATGCTGCTGATCGTGGTAGGTTGCGGGATAGAGCGGGGGTGGAAGTGAATTCGATAAATATGGGTCAAGAAGGCGATGACCAAAAACCACCCCTCGTTCCCAACGCAAAGGGACTAGAAAGTGCTCCCAAAAATAAACCTCTTGGACCTGATCCCTTAAAGAAGCCTAACAGGGAAAGTGATCAGAAAGCTGAGAAACCCGATGGGACTGCTCAAAGGGAAGCTGATGCTGAAGGCCAAGGTGCTGTTTCTGGAAAGGGAGCTCTAAAGGTCCAGGAAAGTTCTACAAAAGATGATAGTTCCTCTAATGATTCAGTGAAGGGTGGGGCAAAAGTCGATCCAGATGCTTCTGCTGAAGAAGAAGGAAAACAGGACTCTCCGAAAAACGTCTTACCCGATGACTCTGGAAAGGTTGCTGAAGTACCTGATGGGAAAAGTGAACAGAAGCCGATCAAGGATTCTCTTGCAGAGGTAGGGAAGCTGAATCTTCAGGATTCCCGCAAGTCGCTTTTTTCTCCTACCACTCTGGATGCTATAAATGAGGTCATATCGGCCTATAGTAAGTGCCGTCCTTCTTCATTTACCCTCAATTTTTTGTGGTTTTGACCTTGTGAATGCTATTGTGTAGTTGCTTGAAAGAGGTAACTTTTCGGCCTTTAAATTTTTGGCCTTTGCAATGATCTTGTGGTGGCGTTCTGATGAGGATGTTTTTGAACCACTGAATTTTCTCGATCTGCCAACCTGTTTAAAATCTTTACTGTCGTTTCGTCTTCATCTGGCTTTACTCCAGGCTCCAGCATCTACTTTCGCCATATCTGTATGAAGACAGTCCTTTTCTCCAGCTGTGTTTACAGTCTTGGCTTGTGTTGCTGATCGAAAATCTTCCCTGAAAGAACATAAATTCTTTCCTTATTGGCTCCTTGGGGATGCGATTGCCAACACTAGTCATGGTGGAGAAATACATTAAGGCACTTGATTTGCCTGCGCATTGAACGGGTTGGACTTGACTCCTTTAATAAGTGACACATTACTGGCAATGCTATCCTGGTTTCTCGGCCGAAAGTTACAGCTTTTTGGACAGATTTCAGCCCGTAAATTATTAATTGGTACCGGTTCCTTTTTTCAATAAAATGGGACAGGATAGGACTTTCTTATGAAAAGATTGACATCATAGTAAATTATAAATACACTATCTAACGTGGTCATCTTCCTGAATGAAATTAGAAAAGTTGCCAAATGCGAGGGGTTATGCTCTTGTGCTCTTTTTCCAAATTTCGAGTTCCCATTTGTAACACTTTCCTGTGTTCATGTCCTTCCAGTCACTGGTCAACAGGGTAACAGATTTCGCTACGTCTTTGTCAATGGCAAGGTCTCTCTTAACGTGAGTTACTCTTTTGCCCACTTGGCGTTGATTTCTCACTGCCATTCATCTAATCGACCTGCGCACGCCTCGTAGTTCTCAGTTACATTCGTCGATCCAGTGTCATTTGGTGCCTACGATCTGATCTTCCACAACTGTCGCAAAGGTCCCATCGATGTTTCCGTGAGTTGAAGGTTATTTGCCAAATGCAGTAGTTACTTAACAGGATTTACTCTTGGTGTGCTCGTTTAAATGGCCACCAGTTTCTTCGACCACTCCGCCGGTGACTTACACATTTCAGTGGCAGGCGTCATTAATTGTGACTAAACCTGGCTGTGGCCCTTTTATAGATGCTCTAAATGTATCAATTCCGAGAGATTCAAGTAGGAGGAGCTAGAGAAAAAAATTCCGGGAGTAACCTGATCACTGAGTAGTCTTTGTCATCTGCTCCTGGATCTTGCGGGCTGTATGCGCGAAAGAAAAGCTTCACATAAAGTAACTTGTTCGACTTGAATTTTAACAAGCTTGTGACGACGAGCCGTGGCTCTCTAATTTGATGCGTTGAAAATACTCGCTATCTGTTTTTTTTTCCTTTTTTTCAACCTGAAGTAAACCTTTCCAGTGGGAAGCAAAAGCTTTTTCGGGTTATAAGCATTTACGAATGATGCATTCCTGGGAGCTCTGGGGGATATCTATATCGGTGCGGAGTGGAAAGAAAATTTATGTTTTGCTCTCGAATAGGTGTTGCATTCCTTTTAAGGTAAAGGATTCGTGTGTTATTTAGCTGCTAAACTCCCATAGGCTCTAAAATGCACACCCCCCCTCAACTCCTTGTGTGTTTATCGCGTTTGGCAGAGAGCTCAATCGCTTGCGGGCTGATCTGTTCAACATCGGGAGATGGCTGGAGCAGGGTCTTTTCGCAAACACTTTGCCCGTTAATTAGATATTTATGCGGCCGGGATACTCTGCATTCGATTCACTAGGTCATGCCTTGGTGGTTGAGTGTATCCCCATCCTGGGTGAAGGAGCTGAATTAATATGCATGGTACATTGTAAATTTATGACAGATCGCCCATGGCGCACTTTAATAGTGGCGTTTGTGCCCATTTTCACCCTGGGTGACTTGTTGACATCTTAAGGTCAGCCTCGTGAGAAAGGTGTAGAGAGGTTACACGGTAAAATATTGAATTGCTACTCCTCCTTCGGGGAGGCGTAGAGTGGGAACCTCCAGCTTACGCATCAACCGATAAGCTGATAGAGAACCCACGTCGTAGCCGTCAGGGGGTGACATTGTTGAGCCCCGCTATTAACTCTTTTACTCCTCTCTGCAGATAGCAATGGTGGAACGAAATGGGGATAACTACCTCTCCGTTGGTGAGCAGCCATTGACCATCCTCTTCCTCATGTTCTCCCTTATCTACGTCCTCCTCTCAGTCGTTTGGGGCTTACATCTCCGCTTCTCCAAGTCAGTCTCACCTCCTACCTTTTGGCTGCATCTGCTGACTCCTTTTCACTTCATTGACTCATCTTCTGATACCACGTTGGGCAAACTACGACATTAGTGGTTGTTTAAATGGCTGTTTGTTTCTGAGGCAACACCATCAAATTGTCACGTTGAAGTTATATTCTCACCGAAGATGACTCCATAGATTACTTCAACCGGTTAGGAATGATGTCCAGATCTATTCACGGTGTAGTTTGTAGTCTCTTCCTTACCCCTTTTTTTAGGCTAGGTGCAAAGTAATTGCGGAACCTTTTAATTGTCCATCATTTAAGAGCCATCTTTCCCATTTGGAGGGGAAAGTTGATTAAAGGTGTGTTATCCACTTCTACTCCATTTTTTTGAGAGGGAAATGCTTGTTCTTCCTTCACCTCAAGACAAATTCGGTCGATCAGGCTAGCTGTAGGGAAAGTGGTTATTTGGTTACTAGCCTTACCCTAAGTTGACCGTTCCATTGATGTGTCATTAACTTGATCCGCGGGCTGGAGTAAAACTGCTTTTTGAACCCCTCTGTTAGGGGTGATGTTTTTAACAGGTAGTCGATTTGCCGTTTATTTGTCAACGTGACACAAAATTCCGATCTCTGCTCTTATAAAACCTCTTTTTTCTCTTGAGAACAAACGACTCACCTTCTAGTCACCCACGTCTTTACCTCTCAGTAGGCTAATTTTTGAGGTCTTGTTTACTTTGCATTTGATTGAGTAATTTTGCGGCAATATCCCTCTTCTCTCCCACCGTGCATACCTCCTCATGGGTAGCTTTTGCAACAGATTGACTTTTTTAGGCTTTTTTCCGTAAAAGTCTCATTTTAATTGACTATGGTGGTTGTTACTGAGGCATAAGAAGTAATTCTTGTACAATAAGGGCGTATTGACGATAGGCTGGTGCATACAATCGCATTTCACTGTGTCGTGCAAGTTGAAACAGGTCATTGCAGCAATATCGTGGAAGCCACCGCAGGTCTTCCATCACTTTCTTTGCCTACTTTCAAGGTCTAAACATGCCTAAGCATCTTCCATTGCTTTATCGTTAAATACCATTGTTTCACCTCTCTCCATTAGCTTCGCGTCCATTGGCTACTGCCTCCTCTACAATTTCCGTTCTGCCCTTGCGTGCAGAAATTTGGAAGTGGAGATTCCTCAACTGACATTTGTTGCCATTTTAGATTGGATAAAGCCTATTGCGTCTCACCTGCACGTTTCTTCAGCTACTAAGGTGTCGGAAAATAGCCTCTTTTGGAAGATTAGACCAAATCGGTGGCTTCCATGCCTACCACGAAAATTGTAGTACCTTTGTCTACTTTCAATATGTGGAGAAATGGTGAGGACCTTCCAATCCACTATTCCTGAAAACCGTTATTCCTGTCTGCATTGCCTCCACTTCTGTTGGCTACTTCTCCGAAGCTTTCCTCAAATTTCCAGGTCTGTAGCTATGTTTTCACGTACTTTCCGCCCCCTTAAAGGTTCGTGTAAGAGGTCGAATGGTCCGTAGAGGAACGCCATTAGTTGCGTTCATCCTGTATTTTCATGAGTCCACCTTCTTCGTTGTGTTGGATTTTTTCCCACTTTTCGTTTAGATGAGCTCATGGCGTCAGTATGCCTTCTGCGCCAATAGTGCCCTATTGTATGACAAGGCACTCTTGCTCACCCCTGCACTCACCTTCACCCTAAATTGGCAACATGGAGTGATTATCAAGAGGTTGCATAATGCCTGTACTGCACGCTCAAACTCGTTTCTGTTTCCTTTTTTCCGTCTCTCGAGTAGAAGTTAACAGGACGGGAAGTTGCTGAATGTTCCACTTCCCCCCTCTTTCCCACCATCCCCCATTAAATCAAGGCGTCTTCATTGCTATCCCCTGTTGCCGTTTCCTCCAAGGCATTACCACTACCACCACGTCGCACTGTGACTGATGTGCTCTCGGCTACACTAATTTCATCACCCATTTTTTTTATTGTGAAGTACTTACCATTCATTTGCTTCACTTCAAACACCTGCCAAGAGGTTGCACTTTGCCCTACCTTATAATCAACCATTTTCTTTTTTTTTCTTTTTGATAGCTTAGTCGATACTTTGACGCTGGACGTCACAGTTAATCTACTAGTCAACTTTTCACATCATTATTTTGTGAGCGTTGTACTGCCCTGTTCTGGCAAATTCTCCTCTTTGATATTCCCAGATTATCCAACTCGTCTTCTTTTAAGGGGGCTTCTCTTCGCTATTCGTTATTCATTTTCACTTTCCCCTTTCTTTTTTGTTTTAGGGCTCCCGTCTTCCGAATTCACCACCTCATGTTGGCTATGGTTATTGTCAAGTCCATTTCCCTCATGTTCCATGCGGTACGTTGTCTGTCAACCAAGTAATGATGAAAGGCGGCACCTCTGAAGATGTGCCGCCAAAAAGCCTTCTAAAGGCTGGTCACTTAAACTGCTCCCTTTTTTCCCCCACTTCCACTCCACCACAGTGAGTTTATTTTGCGTCTAAAATGCTCTAATTTCAGTCGCGAATGAGCCGACCTAGGGAAATCCCCTCTAGTATACACTGGAGGAGGAGGGGCATTTATACGTTCCCTATCGAGTGGCGACCCAGAATAAATGTGGAACATCACAGTCGCTCAGGTGTCTGATGCCAACACCTTCACCACTGAATGGATTAAGAGCGTACTTCATCTGTTTTGCCTACTTGAGCTCATGCTGTAATGCGGCCAGTCACCATGAGCCATTGAAATACTGCGTCACATATTTGTGACACGCAGAAAATCGGAATGCCATGTCAAAAATAATGGCCAAATTCCATCCGATGTCGGGTGAAAGTCAGTCAGTCGGAATAAAAATGTCTTTAATGTGGGGACTCAGTTCCTTTATTCATAGTAGTCAGGCCCTCTTTGTTCCCCCCCCCTCCCCCCCACCTATAATTGGGGCATGCTGCTAAGCCCCCTCGAAGAATGCCACATTGGCCGACTGCGCCGCCTTGTAGCAGCCGCATCGAGTGTGTCCGTTTTTCTCGTCCCCAATACCAAAAGTGTGCTCTGTATCTTTTCACAGTCACAAATAATCGTGGATCACCTCCCACTGGATAGTATTACAAGAGGACGGAGTTGTTTGCCTCTATTTTCTCCTATTTCCTCATTACTTGGTTGCTACGATTCGCCCATTAGAGTGATTATACTTGTTAATACTTCTCTTTAGATTAACTATTTCGTGATTGGAAGACACGGTGTTCAGGAGGAGGGTTGGGCTGCGATGGACTACATTGCTCACTTGTACGTTCAGTCTTCCCTTTGCATAATACTTAAATGACACTCTGCAGCGCATGTCACGACTTTCGAATTTAGGGATGTTCCCTATCGGTAGGTTGAAGGCTGGGTGATGTTCTCTGTTCATCCCTCCTTCCTACCTTATTACCACTACTGCTGTCTGGCTGTCTAATTGGACTGCCCAACGTGGAAATGTATTGAATTTCCAGTTAACACCCCAAAATTGGTATTTTTTAGGAGCACTCTGGCGAGGTGACTGATCTCTACGTATAATTTGAGATTAGGTCGATGCGATTTCAGTCCTTCTGCTGTGATTTTCTACGGATTCAGCCATCCATGGGAGATGCCTCCCTACGGTGACACTCGAGTGTTTGTATTGCGCTCACTTACCACTTTCACCAAGACGTTATTATAGCGCATTGTAGCCATAACATTCTGTTAAGGCCCAGACACTTTTATGTCTTTAGATTCCTCGGTTTATGTGGGTCGACTAGGCTAGATGGGCTTCCATTGAGGAGAAAGGGCTTGAATTTTGACTGCCTTTCCCTTGTAGGACGCGTGGATTTCTGCTGATCGTCACCATCCTCATGATCGGCGCCGGCTGGACATTCATCAAACATGTCTTTACGCGTCAGGAGAAGCATGTCTTTCTCATTGTCATCCCATTGCAGGTTAGTTTTCCCTCTTCCGTCATTTTCGATGCTTTTGGAAGTGTGTACTTTGTAATAATTATCAGGCCCTAGAAAGGGTAACCACTTCTAATATTTGGGCGTCCTTTTTTGCATTCTCGAAGACTGATGTGAATGCGGAGGTTACTCAGTCTATTCCGGACTGTTTAGAAAGACTTTGAATACTTCCTCTTACAATCCGTGCGTGATCAGTGGGCTATAAAAGGGTTTGACGCGTTGAACTTGTCGCTATCCAAAGTCCATTTAAGGGTTGTGGGTCTCTGGCACAGTTGATAATTTTTTTTGACATCTTTAGTTCCTGCTCTGTTATATCGGAGGTCCGGTAGTAGTTCAACAAGTCAACAGCAGCACTGAGAACTCTTTGCTCAAGTATGCTCTGTCTGCTTTAACTTCTCACAGCGTTTATTTCTCATGAAATCGCGAGGTGAAACCTACGATCCTGAATAAGCCTTCACCGGAAGTTGAAAGCGCCCCAGCAGGTGCCTTATCGCGAGTTAGTGCGCCACGGGTCCGGTTGGTTTACTATGAGGCGCTTCAAGCCTGCTGTCAGCATCACAGGTCTTATGTGGTCTTGCTTTAAGTCACCTTTACATCATACTGGTCTTTGAAAGATGTTTTTTAGGCAGTTTCCTGAAGGCAACAAACTCGTGACCATGAAATTTATTGCATTTAGGTGTTCGCAAACGTCGCCACCATAGTGATAAATGAGACAGAACAGGGCGCGAAGCGCTTTGCTTTGTGGAATGAGATCTTCACGGTGGTGGATCTGCTGTGCTGCGCTGGGGTGCTCTTTCCTGTCATCTGGTCCATTCGCCATCTGCGCCAGGCGGCACAGACTGATGGGAAGGTGGCGCAAAATCTGCGCAAACTGCGGCTCTTCCGTCATTTTTACATTCTTGTTATCTGCTATATCTACCTCACTCGCATCATCGTTTACCTTCTGCGTATGACCACGCCCTTCGCGTGGACCTGGCTGGCTGAGTTTTTCGAGCAGACCGTCACGTTGGCCTTCTACGTCTCTGTGGGGCACAAATTCCGACCCTTCAATGACAACCCATATCTGCAACTCCCAACCTCTGAGGAGCAGGAGGCGGAGGATGTCGTCATGGATCTTTTCAATATGGAGGAGGCGTACGTTTTACCTTCTGACGCCGACAATGACACTTTACTGTCCTTTTATCTTCACCCTTTCTTCTTTATGTATCTTTCAGCTTGTCGCAGTCGGGCATAACGGATGGAGTGACGCGTATTCATCGACCACAAAATCTTGATGCAGCTCGGGAGAATCGGCGTTGGCGTGAAGACGCAGCTAATCGACCGTTGCCAGGAGACGCGGAGACTGCTGACTCGGATTTGCTCCCACTTATTCGTCCTTAGAGGAAGAGGAGAGTTTCGGGCGCCTTACCATTCTTGTGGACTTTTTTCGCATATGTATTGACTGAATATTTGCTCCTACTTCTTTTACAACCGTCCTTCCTGTTTATTTGTTAGAACGCGATAAAACCTACACGGGTCTGTTCTCCTTCGCCCTACTCTGGCTCCCGTCGAAAGGGAAGGGGAGGAGGGGATGTTTTTGCCAGTGGTTTGTTTGACCTTCTTGTGTATTATGGCCACAAGCTGCTGCCTTAGTTTGTAGTTAGCGGGCTCACTGGGCTGGTTTCGCCTACGTGACTGCTGAACATCAGGTAGGGATGAGAAAGCGTGCACTCTAGCATGTTGAGTTCCTCCGGAGCGCCAGGGCGTTCTTTGACTTGCAAGCGTTGGGGAGTAGCATCTCCACTGCATTAATACTTCTGTTATCGGGTTTTGTATAATTCTACCCAGAAGAAAAATGCTTAAATTCCACATAATAAAAATTCTGCTAAGGTGTCAGTAACAATGGCTATTAACGCGACCAAAAATAGTTCGTATTTTTGTCATCTAACATTGAAGGAAGGGTTTGCGAGAAAAATCCAATTTCTTTGGAGCGGTATAAGGCTACATCTTGGGGGGCAACAAACATGTTCGCCCAAACGTTTAAATTACCATCAATGTAAGTTATGCTCGTTGGCTGAAAAGTAAACTACACTTTTCTGCATCCGAAGGCAATATTTTGTAAATAATCTTTTACAGAATAACTTTTGCACCCATTAAATTGAACGCAAATCAGAAGCCTCACAACATAGGGTCGACTCCCATTCCTATTAAGTTGCAAAGCGATGCTTGATTTGGTTAATTCTTTATAAGACCACTATTACTTTTGTTATGACGTACTAAAAATGTTCTGTTCCATGGTGTTGTGACACTTTTGGCATTTCAATTTCGATCGACAGCGAAAGGCTCTTAATTTTCTGCCCTAAACATACATTATGCAATCTGATCTTGCGGCAGAAAAAGTCTGCCTAACTAATTAACAGGAGAACTTTTAAATTGAGCCCTCGTTCAATGGACATATACGGTTGGGAACCTTTGAAACGAGCACTTTTTACTAGGTTTATTTAACCTTCTAGTTTTTCGGTGTAATCATTATTGTAACTTGACCCCTAAAGTCCGCAGTCATCAAAGTTAGAATTTCTATAAGTTATTTGTCATTACTTGATTAATTATTACCCAAGTTTGATACTTCATCACCTTGACCTAACTAACCACTTTAAGTATTTGAGTACAGAGTATCTTATCGCAACCTAAAATGACTCCTGCGTGCTGAATAGCAAACAGACTTTCCCGACCTTCGTCGATTTTTTGGCTCTTTTTAATGAAGGTGATGGGTCATCAACAAGTGGAGAAGCAAAGCCGTCCCTCCCACCAAAAGGCAATGCATTACTGTTGAAAAATCAAGGATCATAGAAGAATTGTAGTTAATTTTTATAGGGTCTAATCATCAGTAAACACAGACTAGAGCCAAGCGGTCACGCACGCCCACACATACACGAGGAGGGAGAGAGAGCGGCGTCATTTGAAGAGGCATAGAGCAGGTGACAGTGAAATATGAATATATCCTTAATTGCTTTTAAGTAACTAGACACTTATTTGATTAGTTAAACGGTCTTAGTAGTATTTGATCCTACAAAGAATGACTAGTGGACGGGGCTCGGAAACACAGCATCATACAAGGCAGATGGTTCATAATAGGGGCGGGAGAGGGGTTAAGTGGAGAATCGAAAAAGAGATCAAGACAGAAGTAAAGGAGAAGAGACATTCTTGAAAAAATATTGATGCTGAATGCCTAATCGGAAAGCAACAAAGAGCTGTTTGGCGGGGTAGGGTGGGGCATGGTAGGAAGGATAGAAGGGCTGGGTAGAGACCTTAGACAATATAGTTGACCAGCGGTTGGGTGCGCATACAGACGATGCACTTTCCAACGGAGTCCTGACTCTGCCTCACCTTGATCACTTGTCCCATCACCATACCAAACATGTGTTCGTCCATGGAGCTGGGCATAACGCGTAGCCAAAAGTTCTTGTGCTCCTCGAAGAAGCCGCAGAGACCCTTTGCGGTGCACTCAATGAACATGTGCGAGCGGAAGATAGGCAGACAGCTGCCTGGTGAAGCCAACTGCTGCCCACCACCCTGAGCTCCGTAGCCAGTATTCTAAGCAAAAAACCACAGGGTTACTTATTGAAACCCTCCCAGCCATCCAGAAGGCACTGCCGGGTAGCTTAAAAACGAATTCCCATGTGGTCATTTGTTTGAACTGAAATGACACTCCCACTCGTTCATTGAAATGAAAAGTCGCAACCTCAACCGAGGTCTTTTTGAGTCTTACCATGAGGAAACTGCTTCCCACCCACATATCCTGCCAACCAATTGGGCACTTGGGAATCTCCAGTGTCTGCGAGTGGAAGGCATAGAGCTAGAAAGAAGAAAGAAAATTCATCACCAGTCGCAGCTATCAAAAGTTCTTTGAATCATGGGAACGACAATCCTCTCAACCTACCGTGCTAGGTGCTTCACAGACAACACATCGACTGATGTGACGTTGCGACTCATTCACTGGTACAGGGTTCCACATCATCGGCTCATCCTCAGTGCTTAGCCAGTAGGAGCGATCGTTGCGTTGGGCAAAGTAGCAGTTCTCCTGCTTCTCACAGAACATGAAGGGAATTGGATTAAACATCTGCAGGCAGGAGCCTGGGCTCGCTAGGTCGTTGACATGTGGCCGTTCCGACCCCGACATACTCAGGAAGGAGTAGCCTTCCCAGAGCTTACGTGTTGACGACGGACATTCGGGAATACGCATCGTCTGACTATGTCTAAAACCAAAAAAATCGGCAGAACCGTTAAAATCTGTTCCTTATAGGGAAAGATGCCCGTGATCAGAGAAATTTTTACTTGGCAAAGAGGAAGCCAGTGTTGCCTCGAGTGTCACCAACACGACCAGGAAGACCAGGTTCACCCGGAGGACCGATGTCACCCTTGGGTCCAGTTGGTCCACGGGGTCCAGACTCACCGGGTGGACCCTCAAAGCCTTTCGGACCCATTGGTGCAGGTTCACCCTTTTGCCCGGGTTCGCCGGTGGGACCTTGGGGACCGGGTTGACCCTGTGGACCCCGTAAACCCATCTCACCGGTAGGTCCATCGGGACCTGGTTGACCCTTCTGGCCCTTTTCACCCGAAAGGCGATCACCCTGTTCACCCTTTGGACCCAGCATACCCATTGGACCTCGTTCACCCTTGGGTCCACGGAAGCCCTTCTCACCTTTGAAGCCTTGTGGTCCTGGTTGTCCGTCGCGCCCATCAAGTCCTGGTCTTCCATCAGGTCCAGGTATACCACGTTGTCCGGGCTCTCCAGGGGATCCACGTTCACCCTAAACGCGGCATCGCACCAGTATTAAGGTGGTTGTCAATGGGACAATTAGGATAGTGGGGACAGAGATCTTACCTTGGGGCCAGGCTGTCCAACTGGTCCTGGTGGTCCACGTTCACCCTTGACTCCCTTTGGTCCGGGAGGTCCATCTGGACCCGGTTCTCCGGGTTGTGGATATGAGATACCCTTGGGACCCTTGGGTCCACGGGTTCCTTGTGGTCCTGGTCTGCCAGGAACACCGCGATCACCTTTTTGACCCTTGGTACCGACAAGGTCAGGACCTGGGTCACCACGTTCACCTGGACGTCCGCGAGTTCCTGGGACTCCAATCGCACCCTTGATGCCAGGTGAACCCATGGGGCCGGGTTCTCCGGGCTCACCTTTAGCTCCAGGCAGACCAACCATTGAATCTCCAGGTTCGCCCTCTGGTCCGCGTTCTCCCTTTGGACCTGAAAGTATGAAAGGAAGCAAAATTATTAACAACTGCGTTTACAGGTGTTCAAACGTGGACGTTAGAGCCTACTTACCAACAGGTCCAGGCGGTCCTCTTGGTCCACGAGGTCCATGAGGTCCACGTGGTCCTGAAAGGCCGTCCGGCCCCCGAGGTCCTTCAGGTCCTCGAGCGCCCTTCTTGCCTTGGAATCCAGGATGGCCCTTGAACCCTTGTGGACCTGGTATGCCTGGAAGTCCCATGGGACCGGGCTCGCCTTTAGCACCTGGAGATCCTGTTACTCCAATATCTCCAGGTGGACCTGGAGGTCCCCGTTCTCCCTTGTCGCCTGGTTCTGGTTGACCGTACTGAACTCCTGGTCGGCCTTTTGAACCTTTTGGACCCTGTTGGAGCAGACGAAACGTTTTTAACTTAGCCATACCGCTTTACAGTAATGGATATGATTTTGTCACTCACAGCTGGACCTGGAAGTCCAGGACGACCCTGAGGTCCTTCATCACCAATAGGGCCGATGGGTCCGCGTGGTCCTGGACGACCTTCTGGACCTGGACTGCCGGGTTCGCCCTTGGGTCCTCGTGGACCTTTTGGTCCAGAGGGACCAGGGACTCCTTTTCTAGCGGGCGGTTTATCGGCACCAGGTGGACCTTGCAAACCCTGTTCACCTTTAGGACCTCTAGGTCCAGGTGGTCCCTGAATGGATTGGCCAGGTGGACCCGGGTTACCCTTGGGTCCTGGGATACCGTCATAACCTGGATCACCAGGAATTCCCATGCGACCCGGCTGGCCCTTCTCACCCTTAACTCCAGGTGAGCCAGACCCAGGGGGTCCCACATCACCCTTCTCGCCAGGATAGCCTTTTGGACCAGGGTCACCCTTGGGTCCCGGTGGACCAGCAGGGCCAGGAGGTCCTACGGGACCTTCAGGGCCTATCTCTCCAGAAAGACCAGGTGGTCCTTTAGGTCCTTGACGTCCAGGTGGTCCCACAGGTCCCATTTCGCCGGGATCTCCAGCTTCTCCCTGTGGGCCGTCCTTGCCAATCGGTCCAGGTGGACCCTGCTTGCCCTTCGGACCTGGAGGACCGTCCGCACCTGGAGGTCCTACTTGGCCGGCCTGTCCCTTCTGACCCTTATCGCCTTTCATACCCTCACTGATATAGTCATCCGGACCTTTATCGCCCTTAGGGCCCCTCAGGCCGGGCAATCCAGGAGGACCCCGAGCACCTTTGGGTCCTTTGGGACCGTAGAGCACTTCTCCAGGAATACCAGGCTCTCCTTTAACACCTTTCGGTCCAGGTTGTCCTGGACGTCCAGCAACGCCAGCGATTCCCTTGGGTCCCTTCTCTCCTGGAAGACCTTGAAGACCAGGAGCACCAGATTCACCCTTGCGACCCTTTTCACCAGGTTCACCGCGTGGACCCCTGAGACCAGGTTCAGAGCCACCATCAGGACCAGGAAGACCGGTTTCGCCGCGTTCTCCTTCAGGTCCGCGTTGACCTTTGGGTCCCATAGGACCCTGCGGTCCCTGACGTCCATCGGGACCTCGGCTACCAGGCAATCCGGGCTGGCCCTTGGGTCCACGACGACCCTTCTCCCCAGGTGGACCCGGAGGTCCGACATCACCAGGGTAGCCCTTCTTTCCGTCCTTCCCGTCGGTTCCACGAAGACCCTTTTCACCAGGTGCACCTAGATAAAAAATAGAGGTTTTTTGACCCGCCTTCTGAGGGGCTGAAATTCCTATTTTTGTAATAGAATCCAGCCTCACCTTGAGCACCGGGGAATCCAGGAACTCCAGGTTCACCTTTTTCACCCTTTGGTCCAGGTTCGCCTTTGAGGTGTTCGTAGAGCTGTTCGATGATTCGGTCAGGACCTAAAGATGTAAAGGAAGTATTGTTTAGGGAAAGTTGTTTTTAAACGAAACAAGATTCTTACGTCTACTTACCGCGTTCACCCTTTTCACCCTTCGGACCGGGGAATCCGTCACGACCAGGTGGACCGGGTTCACCTTTCTGAGCTCTCATAACTCTTCCATCGGGACCTGGATCACCAGGTGGTCCTTGAACACCTTGAGGTCCGCTGAAACCTGGGAGACCCTTTGCACCAGTCTCCCCCTTTGGGCCTAGAGGTCCACGTGGACCCTGTTGTCCAGGGAATCCTTTAGGGCCAGTTAAGCCACGGGGTCCAGGTCTGCCTGGAGGACCGTCTTGTCCTCTTGGGGCTTCAGTGATGGTCTGATTGATGAATTCAATGCGGCCCGGTTCGCCAGGAGGTCCGCGATCGCCCATTGGGCCCGGTTCACCTTTGGCACCCTAGAATTCAATATACGGAGGTTTGTTTCGAATTAATCCCTTGAATAACTGCTTCCTGTAGGTAAATAATTCACCTTCCTGCCTGCGGGACCCATAGGACCATCGGGACCTTGGAAGCCTGGAAGACCTTTGGCACCAGGAGCGCCGTCTACACCGTCCGGGCCTGGACGTCCAGGACGGCCAGTAAAGCCCTTTGGACCACGTGGTCCTGGAAGACCATCCGGGCAATAGGCACAATCGCCCTGGGGACCAGTTGGACCTCTAGGACCCGGTCGTCCACGGAGACCTGGGCTACCTGGTAAACCTTTAACACCTGGTGGGCCTTTCACCCCATCTATGCTGGGTCCATCTTCACCAGGGTCTCCTGGTGGGCCTTGTGGACCTTCAGGACCTCGCTCACCTAAAGATAAAGTATTGCACAGATTTTTCCATGAACTCATAAAGGAAAAAATAAAACTTACCGGCAGGTCCTTGTGTTCCAGGAACACCAGGAGGGCCCCTTTCACCTTTTGGACCAACTAAATCTTGGCCAGGTAAACCCTTGACACCCTTAACACCTCGAGGCCCGGGAGGTCCGGTTTTTCCACGTTTCCCATCAACTCCAGGGAGACCTGTTCACAAGAGATGTCCTTCATGATATAGGAAAGGGAACAGTAATGCAATTATCTGTCACACATTTACCGATACATACCTCTTTCTCCCTTGGGTCCAGGTTCTCCAGGAACGATGGTTCCATAGCCTGGGCCAGGTTCACCCTTGGGACCCGGTTCGCCGGGATCTCCACGCTCACCTTCCAGACCCTTTTCCCCCATCGGACCTTGTGAGAAACAGAAAACGAATAGGTTTCCGATGACTCTAGGTATGGTCCAGGTTTAAATAGTGGCTACAGGTTAGTTTTGAATATCTTACCTTCATCACCAGGAGGACCAGGAGGTCCCATTTCACCACGTTCTCCATCTGGACCGGGAAGTGTACCCTCAGTGGTGATGGTGTCACCTTTTGGACCCTAAAAGCCAAACAAATAAGAAAGGCGATATTATAAATAGCTATTACTATCAACTTATGATCAAAAAATGAAGAGGGATTTACCTGTTCTCCCTTTGGCCCAGTTCTCCCGGGATAGCCTTTCTCACCTTTTACACCGCGAGGACCTTCGGGACCTGGTGGACCTTGCATTCCGTCAATACCAGGCCGACCTGAAGCGCCTGACACTCCTGATGGACCAGTTTTGCCTTTCTTGCCCTATGGTGAAAAAGACGAGGTCAGCAGTGAGAATGCTGGATATTAATAAATTGTGAAATCTGAGCACAATTTGCTAACCGGGGGGCCGGGATCACCTTGAGGACCAGGTTGGCCAGGGACTCCAGGAAAACCGGCTATACCCTAGATTGGCAGGAAGTTACAGTGAGAGAAAGTATCAAGTAGTAAGGTAGAAGATTTCATAACAGTTAGAGATGAAAACTTGCCCGTTCGCCCTTGGGACCTTTGTCTCCAGGAGGTCCGCGTTCCCCAGGGACGCCTTTGTAGCCCTTTGGACCAACTCTATAGAAGGAAATGATTGTATTGTAAGCAAGACATAATGCAAATCATTGAACAAGAAGCAAAAATAGTCAATAACACAGCTGAAGTCGTTGTAAGATGGGGCACCTCGATGTGTTCAAGCTATAACGGAACACTAATAAAGATAGTTATTTATATCAACGACTTTGTAAGAAAGCGGTTCATAGATAAGAATCTGCAAAGTTATGCATACTGAATGCCCTTAAGTACGGGCGGTTTCTCATAGGAGGCACCTTTGTAGCCCTTCTCACCCTTTTCACCTCGTTGGGCCTAAAAATAAGGGAAAAGTTGTGAGAACATAGGTAATTTCCTTAAATTTAAGCAAGAAGGGCAGATTTTAGCCAAACTTACGTATTGAATTGATGGACTAGGGGTCTTGCCCTTTGGGCCTTTAGGGCCCTGTTCACCATGGTCTCCAGCGGGCCCCTATAAATACACAGAATACATTTACTCTACTAATTAAAGTTAAGTAGACTGTTTATTAAACACTTTGTGAGAACCTACCATAAAACCTTTGGGGCCCTGTACACCAGGACGACCACGTTCGCCGTCGGGACCACGAGGTCCAACAGGCCCTTGAGGTCCACGCGAGCCTTTCATGCCGGGAGGCCCTCTAACAGCCGTCCCATCGCCAACTATTGTTTCACCTTTTTCACCCTGCGGTAGTAATGCACTTTGACGTAGTGTTGAATAAATGTAGACAAGTCTGCGCCTTTGCTGGCATGACCCACCTTTTCGCCTTTGAGTCCACGAGGTCCTTGAAGGCCGTCATAGCCGTCGGGTCCAGGGAGCCCAGGAAAGCCTGGAAGTCCCTAAATTTTCAGATAGTTTGCGATCGCATTATTTTGGTCACGAAGGCACCATAAAATGGAATAGATAAGTTCAAGACTAACCTTTATCCCGCAACATCCCGGATCACCAGGGAAACCCTTGGGTCCCTTGATACCTGGCATGCCCTTCAAACCGTCAGTTCCTGGCATTCCAGGCTGACCTTTGTCACCCTGTCACACGAGATAACCATATTAAAAAGTTCTACTTAAATTTTGCTAGGGACAATATTGTAGGTGTTTCCAACTTACCATGATGCCTTTACGACCAGGCTCACCAGGATACCCAGGTAGACCCTGCAGACCCCTAGTACCAGGGGGACCTCTGGAACCTCGCGGACCTATAGATCCAGGTAGACCCATGTGACCTTGGGGTCCAGGTTCGCCCTAAGTTCAACCAGTGGAAAGGTAATAGTGCCCCAAATTGGTAAAAATGAGATGCGAGGCCTACTTATGTGCACTCAGTAGCATCAACGTTTGGTCTACACTTCGCACCAAAAGCGGAAATCTACCTAACTGCTCTTCAAGCGCGAGATATCCCGTAGATCGTCTCAAATCCCGGCATCACGAGTCGGAGGGTGAAAGAACTTCGCCTTACTGCACCAGCCAAACGGAAATGGCCTAAGGTCAGTGGTAGTCACAGGACTGCATGAGCTTGAGGTCAAATTGCCATGGCACCACGCCTTTCACCGCCGATGTCACTTGCCCCACCATCCAGCCGCCACGGCTTAGACAATACTGCCGCTCTCCCCATCAGTAAAGGCACAGTGTATGGGGCGAAAAAACCACTTCTAAAGCATATCAGGGGCGTCATTTAGTGTTTCTCACGTTACCAACAAGGATACTGGTGACACTCTGCCAACCTGCCGTACTAAGGAAGAAACCCCGACGCACCGTCCGTTAAAACCCTGTCTGATGAAGCTTACAAAGTCCGCCAAGAGGAAAGCCGTTCAAACAAACTTCCTGTCCTGTTGTGATTGTGGACAAATAATCCAAAGAGTGTAGAAAAAGGAAAAGCTTTACATAAAAGCTAATTATAAATTTAAGCCTTTAAAAATACAATTTTTTGTTTTAATCTACATCTTGTAAAGCAAACAAAAGTATCTTGATGAAGATACAATCGGAAAAAAAAATATTAACATTACAGTCAAAAGTGTCCTAAATGCATTTTAATGGCAAATAAAAAGCGCTTTTGCATGTTGTTAACTAATAAACGACCCGTATTTATTCCCTACTTGTGAGCGTTTGAATATAATTTTTACACTACTATTTATTAAAATTGAAGGGGAAAATTCCTTGACATACCTGAGGGCCAGGATTGCCTTCGCAAGAGCATTCTTCACAAATGGCATTGGGACAGGCCTAAATGTAACACGAAGTGGGGAGACTGACTTAGTTAAAAATAAAGCAAACTGTTTTTAGCTTTACACATATAAGCGAAGAGAAGAAAATGAAGGGCATACACCACCTCGAGGACTTACAACAGCTGCTTGAGAAGGCTGCAGGAGTAGAGAAAGACAGAGGAGAAGAGCAGGGAGATGGAAAGAGGTGCGAGTGAACTCGCCAGTGGAATCTAATGAGCTAACACACGGCTGTCTGTGGCGCGACATGCTCCTCCTCCTAATCAGGCTAGAGCACCTTCCACAGACGTGCTTCCTGGAAGTATATGTAAATCCTAATTACCTGCCGTACGCACACACACACACACGCACACCCCAACACACCACCGATGCCTACTTGCCTGCCCTCTGGGCAATTCTGTGCGTGCGTACAGCCTTCAATCGATTTTGCACTCCGCTTTGGCAGTTTCAGAGGTACAGGCACCGAGAGGCCAATCGGAACACACCTGTAGCAGCACAACGTAACGCACCGAAAGCACGCACAGGAAACGTCAAGTGTGTGTAGAGGTGAGTGCCCACGTTCAGAGTGTGTCTGTCCCACTAAGTCCTGGCAACATAGAATTAGAGATGGTTGAGACCCCATTAACTTTGACGTAATGCATTAGGGTGTGAGGTGGAGGGAGGAGCAGGGAGTTTTTTGTCAGTTCCATGACCTGTTCTATGATACCATTAGAATTGAATTATTCGAAGAGATCTTTTTGGGAAAAGTGTGGTCCTCATGACCGTTTATTTGATAAAAAATTATTTCAAATTGGAATGTAAGAATGGGAAAAGCTAAATATTTCCAACAATTTTGTGCGACCAACAAACAACAAAGATGAATTTTTGAAGATCTTTTTGCTTTTTGAAGAAGAAAGGCTTGGCCACCCACTAATTAAAAAATTTGGTATTATTTTTGGCCGATTGTAAGATTATTTGCTATAGCCAATTATCGTAATATGAGGTGGCGCACATGCTGCATATTTTTGACGCTGGCGTTTAAGTAATATCTAGGTGTCTCATGTATGTGACGTTAGTTGAGAGAGCATTAATACTTGTTTACTTCTGCATTGTCGACAAAAGTTTTCCGTTATTCAACAAGAACTTTTAATTTTAGTGCACTATTGTAATCACTTAAATTAAAGTTGTACATTAAAAGGTAGTAACAGAGTTATTTTGCCCCCTTCCACCCTACCATACTTCGTCTCCCCCCCCCCCCTAGGAATGAATAAACAGCCTTTGTCTGGAACGTCGAATGCTTTGACGTTTAACACGGCGAAAGGCACGGTTAAAAATCTCTCATCCTGCCAAAGTGGCAGCTGTTTCCGACCCCTCCCCACTTTTGGCTCGGAGAAAAAAGGAGGGCTCGGATTTTTATAGTAACCCAAAGAAAGGAATGACACAGAGGTGCGTAAATCACAAATACACCTACACACTTTCACATTCCCACTTGCATTTAATCGCAAAAGTTGTTGCTTTTTGTTCACGGATAGATGTATACGGGAGGGTGGGTCCCTTCAATTCTTAGTTCGTGGAATCTACCCATCACTCATGCATTCTAAAGCACCATTTTCATCGAAAACTCACACCAACCGCCCGTCTTACTTCCTACTTTAACCCTTGAGTCTGTAAAGAGTCCGCAAAATTCACTGACAATCACCACTTTCTCCTCCAATTCTCTGTGAACCGAGTAAAAACTCTTCTGGTCGGAAAAGTTTGGCTATCCCTGTCTCAAAACCTAGAAAACCGACCACAAAATCTCTAAAAATCCTTGACCTCAAGACCTTGTAATAAAGAACAAGCGAAGCGTAAAGTGAGTCTTATCAACTACGCTAGACGTCCTCACGTTTTCGACCATACATTTTTCGTGGTGACGACGAACCCCTTCTCCCTAAAATGGGCACAAATTCCTGAATGGACGGTCGGAGGAAGGAGTAACCTGGACACTATTTATTGCTTGGAGCATCAAGGAATGGGTGAAGGTGGCAATGCGTATTTGATTACCGCCTCCTCTGATTAGGGTTAGCGAAACGTTATGTCCTTTCGTCAACTTTTTTACCCATGTCACATATATGTGACGTGGGTTTTCTAACCGCTTTTATGATAGATGATGATTGGAAGCATTCAGCTGTTGACTAGGTTATTTAAAAATTGAATCAACAGACTGGATGACAAATCTTTTGGTTCTTTCTCTGTGACAACACGTTTTTTCTTTATGTCATGGCAGCAACTCTTGCACTACTCAGTTTGGCATCTCGTCTGCCGTCTAGAGACGGAAAAGCACACTTAATCATCTATTTGTCCTTCGACCTTTACGTTTCCTACTACACTCAACCAGTCATTTTGAAACAATATTTGGTGCAACTCAGTTGTCGTAAATCGGTGTTTTTAGGCGTCACATATATGTGACGTGGGACAATTAGAGCAGAAATATTTTGCTTTCGCTTGTGTATGTGTGTCAATGTGTTGAGAGCTTTAATGAAGCTATTGATGTTATCTCGTACAAAAAAATTTAGGCAGACAAAAATTGATATAGTTACCATTACCTTACTTTAATTGGAAAAGGTTAGCCTATGTACATAAATACCACAATTACTTTTCCATCAAATCAGTGGAAACTTATGCATTACTTGTCCTACTCCAAGATCATAATTTCCCTATGCTAACTTACCACTTTGGGAAAGAAGGAAGGGAAAAAGTGAAAAAAAATGTTTTAAATTAGGAGGGTATGACCTTAAATGACTTTTGCGCTTCGCCTAGTCTCGACTTGCCCAGCCTTGGCATGTCCTTTCACTTGATGTGTCTACTAACTGAAAAGGCAGTTACAACATCGTTACTTATCAAACGCTCCTACATATTTATATTTTACTGGCCTAAAGCGTTTTGAGGATTGTATGATTGATTAGAAGCTCACTTCATCTCTAGCTCCGGGCCCTCAGCTCAGGCCTATCACCTGATTCACAGGAATGATAAATCCTCGGATAACCGGAAGACATTATCCTCCGGAAGAGAAGAATCCTCGCCAACTTTTAATGCTCTAAAAAAGTTTGGGTCAGAAAAGATCACCTAAGCAACATTAAAAGAGATGGCAAAGTTGGCAGAGGCAAATTTAACTAAGGTGGTTAAAACGGCGACAAAATAATGAAAAAAAAATAGGCAAAAGTAGCCCAAAATACCTAAATACTAAGTAATTTTCCTTAAAGTGACGAGTAATGGGTGATTGACGAAGAAAGCTACCATCTAGTAGGCAAGGGAAAAGTTTTATCAAGTATACTTTGCTGCAATGGCTTCTTGCGGAATGGATGGCGCTGCCGGCTGGGAATTATTCGGCAGCTGCGAAAAAGTGTCTCGCCGGTATGCCTTTATTTGGCAAAAAAGGCATCTCTCTCGCCTCCACGAGGAAGGCTGCTCTATTCTTAGTCGTGAAGGCACATCCTACACGCCTCATCACCTCACACTACTGCATCCATTGCCCCTGGCAGGACCTCATTCTCCGCACTTTTAAGAGATGCGACGATGGGATCGCATGGCAGGGTGGGAGGGCGAAGGAGGAGGGCGGAGGAGGAGGGTGGAGGGACAGGAATGTAATGCTTCATCCTCGGCCTACACACTCCCCAATCCTCTGCTCGTGTTCCTCCAACCTCCAAGTGATACACGTCGCCTGTTCTTGCCGCCGCCACCACCACCGCCACCTCAACCACCAATAAACAACCATTTGACCACATACGATGCAGAATGCCACAGAGTGGAGAGGAGGAGAACAAATCGGATTAGATCGGATCAGAAAAGGACTGGACAAAACAGAACAGATCAGAATGGACAGGTGAGTGGCAAAGATGCGAAAAGCAGAGGCAAAGATGGCGCATTGTCTGACGTACAGAAGTGGACCCCAGTGGAATGGTGCTTGGATGGGGAGGAAGGCGGAGGTGGGATGAAACTCCGTTGGCGCCACCCACGCTTACTGACTCATAGTGCACAGTTCTTCCGTGGGTCAATCATTTGCCCACTTCTAAACTGCAGTGGTGATTCTTCCCACCAAGAAGAAAAACAACATTTCCCAAGTTGCTTTTTGCTCATCTACCTCTTGGAACAGGAACAAAAACCAGAACCAAAAGAAAAAACAAAATTACTATTTATTTTGATGATCAAATGGACAAACAAATGTGCTTTCATAATCAGCATTAATGGTGCCCTGGATGGGTTGTAGGCAAAGAAAATTCATGATATCTCCTCCCATATGGTTGGGGCTCTCCTCCATCTGTATCATGGTAGTAATTCCCAATCATTTTCCCAATCACCCTCTCCTCCCCCCTATCCACACGGCAACATTCTAGTTTTTTTTAGCAACTTTAAGCCAAGCAGACTTTGGTTCAACTGAAATAAAGTTGTTGCTTCAAAAATATTCCAGAAAAATTTGGGCAAAAATAATGATGGATTTGAGATAGCCAATCAAAATAGCAGAAAAGTAAGGAGTGTACTTCGGTTTTTGTTTTGCTGCTCAGAACTTGCTGATTGCAGCACTCACTCCCTTTTTGTTCTCCAAGCTTCAGGACAGCCTTGTAGAAATATCTCATCATGGAAGGAAAAGAGAGATTAAACAGAGAAGACACGAAATCGTGGTAAATAAATTACTGTTGATGACGAGCCGTGTAAGCCTATTTATCGCCCCCCACCCTGCTAAAGAAAAGTTAATGAAGAACTTTGCCATTTTGAGGAGTGGTTGATTTGGTCCGGGAGACAATGATCAGATAAAGGTGGGTAATTCCTTCAGAAACTTATGACAGTAGTAACTAATGTAGGATTTAAAAGGCCTTTTAAGTCCAAAATTTATTGGATATTATTTGTTGTTTTGGCCTTAGTCCGGAAGAAAAAACAAGAAAGGTGTTTCGAGAGGCATAACTTTTATCAAGTAATTTTCAAACATCCTCCCAAAAGTAACCAATCGGGAAGTGCTATCAGCAGTGCACTTAAACAAAGAATAGAAAATTAAAAAAGTGGAAATACGCTGAGACCTGGATTCACTCCAGAGACCACCCAGCCTTGCTTTAAATCCCACCTGCTTCCCCACGGGGTAGCAAAATCCTACGAATTTGAACAGCCCACTCAACTCGTAGAACAAAAACATGAACAAGTTCTAGCATTTTAAATGGGGAAGGCGAGTTACCTTTCTGACTTTTTTGGAAAGGGACTTTTCCCCTATCCACTGATTTTTCGGCCCAATCGTCTGTTAGGTAACAGCTGTTTTGATTGTCGTTAAAAGTGGGGCAAATTTGTTTGTCCATTC